TGGAAGATTAAGAGCTGTGGACCCAAAGATGTCCAACGTCCTAGCAGGAGGATCAGCTTTAAACACCTGCTCAAAGTAGCCGGCCCAGCGGGTCACAACTCCAGTGTCATCAGTAAGGACTGTTCCATCACCCGCCCTGACTGCAAGTCTCCAAGGAACAAATTCAGATGTACGTAATGCTTAGAATTCCGCTGTGAATGGGACACAGGTCACTAGACCACAGATGGTGTGTCACTTGCTCACAGATTTGTCTAACAAATGCCTCCTTATCTGCCCTCAGAGCCCTCACAGCCATCTTCCTCAGTTCCTGATACAAACTGGAGTGGCCACCAAGTCTTGCACTGTGACTCCTCATGATAATATCCATGGTGCCTTGCGAGATGAAACACCACCTTCTGGAAACACCAGCAACACCAACACAACCCTCAACAACCTTCAGGCTCTAATCATGGAAGATTTCTCACATCACATTAGAGTCAGCAGTCACACCCAAGTCTGCAAGTTTGTCACACAAGCTGCATGCAAATTCATCAGAAACAGCTTGATGTTGGAGTCTGGCAAAGTCCAGCCTCATTCTCCTAGTAGGTGGTAGCCTACTGGATCTAAGCTGAATCTTCAGAGTAGCAACAACAAGTCTGTGGTCAGAATTCACAAACTAGACACTTCTGTAGATCCTGCACTCACCCTGGTCTCCAAACCCATGGGGTTCGACACAATCCTCATAGCCAGTCCTGTCAGTGCCAGTGGTGAAATTAAAGTCACCCATGACCAGAGGAGTGTCACCTTGTGGGCACCTATCATAAGAACATAAGAAATTTACAAATGAGATGAGGTCATTCGGCCCATCAAGCTTGTTTGGGGAGAACTTACCTAATAGTTGTTAAAATCTTATGTAGCTTTAAAGAAACCCAGGGCTTTAGTTTGCACTACACTAGCAGGAAGACTATTACATACTCTAACTACATGCTGTGTAAAGAAGTGTTTTCTCAAATTCAGTTTAAAATGTTCTCCTGCTAATTTCCACCTATGGCCACAAATTCTAGTATTTCAGCTAATATTAAAGTAGCCATTTGGCTGAACAACATCGAGGCCTGTTAGAATCTTATATACCTGGAACATGTCCCCTCTAAGTCTCCTTTGCTCAAGGCTAAACAGATTCAGCTCAGCTAACCTCTCCTCATAAGACATTCCTCTAAGATCAGGAATCATTCCTTTAGCCCTACCTTGCACCCTACGTGTTCTACGTGCCTACCTGGATGGGCCGCCTCAAGCTGCAGCGGGTGATGCCTCAGTAACGTACCAGCCCAGATCCCCAAGAGGCCTGACCCTGTTAGCTCACCAACGGTTCTGACTCTTCCAGGCATGAGGCTCCCAAAGGCTTTCCCCCATCCCCTTCAAGATGCATGCAGCCTTCCTGTGGGCAGCTGCAGCAGAGCTACTCCCATGGAGAGCAGAAGGATGCCGTGCCTCTTTAGATAGAGCTGTTGTGAGTTGTTTTACAGTGGCTGGAGTGCCAATCCCGTTACCAACCCCCAAAACTCTTCACCACAAGTTGGAGGACCGCTTGCAGGGCCAGATGCAGTTATCACTTAATCAAATATATTATTTGTCTGACAAATATACATAAAATAAAAAAGCCAGATTTCATTCACACTGCATCATTATCTAATGAAAATACGGATTGTTCTCCCTGCTGTATTGTGTTCACTATGAATAATAATAATAATAATGTTTTATTTATATAGCGCCTTTCATACGCTCAAGGACACTTTACAAAAACACATTTAACAAGGCAGGCAAGTTACATGCAAGACAAATAATATTCATTGAATAGATGTGTTTTTAACAAGAACTTAAAATGGATAACAGGTTTTTCCTAGCATTCCAAAGGTTAGGAGCTGTTACACTAAATGCTCTGCCACCCATAGTTGATAACCTGTGCTTAGGTACAGTGAGTAAGTCTGCATCGGATGATCTTAATGCACGCGCAGGAGAGTACGGAAAGAGTAGCTCAGACAGATAATGAGGGGCTAAACCATGAAGGGCTTTGAAGATGATGAGGAAAATTTTATATTTGATTCTTGAAGAGACTGGTTCCATCATGGAGGACAGGAATAATGTGAGCAGATTTTTTAGTGTGCGTAAGTAGACGGGCAGCAGAGTTCTGAACGTACTGCAATCTAATGATAAGTTTAATAGGCAGGCCATAAAATAATGCATTACAATAGTCCAGACGGGTAGTGATGAAAGCATGAATTAGTGTTTTGGTATCTTTCACACTGAGGGAGGAGTGCAAACAAGTAATGTTACGTAGATGAAAAAATGCTGTCTGTATAAGTGAGCTGATGTGTGGTTGGAATGTAAAAAGCTGATCAAAAATGACACCCATATTACAGACTGATGTTGAGGGCTCCACTAGGATCCCATCTACATCAATTTTTAACCCATGGAGGGTAGAGAGGACAGATTTAGTACCCACCAATAAGATTTTGGTTTTATTCAGGGTTGAGCAGTAAAAAGTTAACCATCATCCAGTGTTTGATTTCTCTAATGCAGTTAGTGAGCAAGGCTGCAGGATGATGATGCAGTTGGATCAACACTTATATACAGTTGCGTGTCATTCGGCATAGCAGTGGTAGTTGAGACCATACCAATGGATAATTTGACCTACTGGGAGCATGTAGATATTGAACAGAATTGGACCCAGAACTGACCCTTGGGGGACACCTTGTGTGAGCAAAGTAGTGGTGGATTTATGTTCCCTAATGGAGACATAATACTGTCGATCACTAATGTAAGATTCAAACCAAGAAAGAGCTGCACCAGAGATACCAATACTTGCAAGTTGGGACAGCAAGATATTATCAAATGCTGCACTTAAGTCAAGAAGAACTAGGATAGTGGCCATCCCAGAGTCTACAGACATAAGTATGTCATTGGTCACCTTAAGCAAAGCAGTTTCCGTACTTTTGAATCCAGATTGCAGGGGATCAAGCAGGTTATCAGAGTTTAAATAATCATCTAGTTGAGCAGCAACAACTTTCTCCAAGATCTTAGGCACATATGGTAATTAGAGATTGGGCGATAAAACTTTAGTTGTGATGAGTCTAAGGCAGGTTTTTTTAAAACAGGGGTTAGAGCAGCAGTTTGTTATATAATATATTTACATTAAATGCATTTTTGCATGTACCTCCATATTTCTGCATTGGAAAATTCGTTCAATAATTGACATACTTCTGTCTAATATTGCTGGTGCCCAGGGTGAAACTTGCCAGCACTTATTATAAGGATAACATTACATCATTTTTTTATTCTGTGAAACTGAAAGATAGATCTGCTAGCCAGATTTAATAATGAATTATAAACATGCTGCGGGCCATATAAATAAAATCATAAATTGTCGGTCAGGTAAAATCAATTGATCATCATGAATCGTACTCATTGGGTACTCCCAGTTGCAGTACAGTCTTCTCAGGATGCATTCATTTTCTTCATTTATCACTATAAACTCGGCCATGTAGCGGTTAAAGTACAGTCAGAGGTAACAACTTTTTTCCCTTACTTTGGTTGTTAAGGTCTTTTATGTAACCATTAAGATAACTTTAAGGGATTCCTTAAGTATAAGACCAAGATAAGGATAAAAACTTAAATACTTAAGTGAACACTTTAAGGAAACCTTAAGGAGAAGACTTAAGGGTGTTTGTGGAACCAACTTTATTTTAAGCCTTCCTTAACTCGGACTTTAAGGGAAATCTTTTGGGCAACCCTGGTGACTGTTTGTGTACAGTGAGTTTATTGTAATGTTCAAGAAACCAGTCTGAGATATGAGCTTTGTGACATGGCATACATTTCTTGCTGGAAGTAACCATTAAAAGCTGTGAACAGTGTGGTCATAAAGGGATGGACATCGTCAACAAAAATAATCTGGCTGATTTTAACAATGTTCATTTGGTTCTATGGGGCCCAAAGTATTCCAAGAAAATATTCCCCACACCACTACACAATCGCTATCAGCCTAAAATGTTGATTTAAGGCAGGATAGATCCATGCTTTCAGGTTGTTTAGTTGAAGTTCTGTCCCTACCATCTGAATGTCGCACCAGAAATCAAGACTCATCTGACCAGGCAACATTTTTTCAGTCTTCCATTGTCCAATTTTAGTGTGTCCATGCCCACTGTAGCTTTAGTTTCCTGTTCTTATATGACAGGAGAGGCACCTGGTGTAGTCTTATGCTTCTATAGCCCACCTGCTTCATGGTTTGATATGTTGTGCATTCAGAGATCCTCTTCTGCATACCTTGGTTGTAGCAAGTGGTTATTTGAGTTACTAATACCTTTCAATCAGTTTGACCAGTCTGGCCATTGTACTCTGACCTCTGCCATGAACAAGGCATTTTAGCCCAGAGAACCACTGCCCACTGGATGTATTTTATTTTCAGCGCATTCTCTGGACACCCTAGGGATGGTTGTGTGTGGAAAATCCCAGTGTAGATCAGCAGTTTCTGAAATACTTGTACCAGCCTGTCTGGCACCAACAACCATACAATATTCGAAGTCACTTAAAGTACCCTTCTCCCCCATTCTGGTGTTTGATGTGAACATTAACTGAAGTTGTTGGTTCGAACACACGATCAGTAAGGCACCACTGAGGTACCATGAGCAAGGTACCGCCCCCAAGCACTGTTCCCCAGATGCTGAATTAGCTGCCCCCTGCTATGTCACGATGTCACATATGGGTTAAATGCAGAGGACATGTTTCGTTGTGCACTGTGTGCTGTGGTGTGTCAACAATGACCGCTGATCACCAAATTCTAATTCTAAGTTTCTGACCTCTGTCTGAATGATTTTATAAACTGTGCTGCTGATATATGATTGATAAAATTAATTATATATAGTAAAAAATAATTTTATTTAAAGTAATGAAATACAAACACTATAACAATGTAAAGTACAAGATGTACTTAGAAAAACGAAGAAAAAGTAAAACGTGTCAATGCAACATTTTGGTCTAGAACTCTTTTTTATTGATATTAATAGTTTTCTGAAACCTAGAGAATCACTAAGCAATCAGCACAAATTTCTAATTTTCAGACATACATGCACAATTTTTCATTCAAATAAGAGAATAATGCAGTTTTTCCTCTAACTTAAAAAACAATAGGGTCTACATTAATGTTTCAGTATATACAAATTCCTTTCATTTTTTTTTACAATTTCATCTAAAGCTGATTGGAAATTAAAAAAGCAGTGTGTTACTGATCTTATTATCTGTACATGCAGCAATTATTGTACATATTTATTAATGACGATTATTACAAGAGCTACATATGCACTGTGCCAATAATGAAATCTATCCATCAGGTGCTAATTATTCAATACAACAATAAGAAATTAGTTAAAATAGAGGAACATAAAAAAAATATGAAAAATGAAATTTAAAAACCTCAATGGATGCCCCACTAGGACATCCCCACAGGCACAATTATTCTGCTGTGATGAAATGAAATGAAGCTGAGTAATGGGATGATGTACCATGCACTGTCACTCAATATCTGGTTTAACCAATCGCTGTGAGTTTTGCCCTTTGGTCAGCCCTTTTTTTCTACTAGCTCTGGCTGATTGGCTGTGAATGGCAGGGCTCCACTGACATAATATGCTATGCCTAGCGACAGAAGGGCTATGACTAACATCAGCATCAGCACCCGCCAGAAGCCCAGGTCCTCAACAAAGTCATGCCAGGTAGTGTGGAAGCTGAAGAACAATCCTTTGCCACTGTGCTGGCTGGTATACAGAAGGGTGTGGCTCTCCATCAAACTGAGGAAACAGGGGGAGGTCTTTTTGACCATTCAGCATCCTAAAATACCTCAAAGGCAGCTAAGCTTCAGAAAAGACATACTCAACAATGCAAAATGTGGTCAAGAAAGTTGCTCATTTCATCTGCACTCCGAACCCCTGACCACAGCGATCCCCTAGGTATGCCTCTCTCTCACCTGTCATTCTCAGGCAGCCCCACAGGGTCCATCTTTAAGGCTCCTGCACAATTGAAGCCCTTCAGCTCCCGCTCCTCCAGGTACTCCAGCAGAGAGAGGGAGTTCCGGTTCACCCCTCGCCTTTTTGCCAGCACCAAGGGTGTTGCTCCATTATGGTTACTGGTGAAAACATATATAAATTAATATATTTTAACATTTTACACTAGGGCTTCATAACATCACAGTGTGATATCACATCCCGATATGTGAAATTTCTGCTAGTAAAACTGAGATATTTATTTTAAAAAAATAGAGAGGAATTACCTGAAATAAACTATAGCCCTGTAGAACTTGTTAATATATACCAATAGTGTTCAAATAACTTGGTGGTGTTGTCATAAGTTGTGTCAACAGACACAAAGCAGTGCTGAGAAATGCGATGTGATTATTGTACATGCGCCCATCACGGGGATGACGCTGAAACATATCATGCAGCCCTATTGTACAAAAATCCCAATATATTTCCTTTAACGCTAGTAATAAATGAGGTCAATTCCTCTAAAAACATTTTTTAAATACTCTAGCAAATGGGAAATACACTAGAATCACCCATATATGCCTGAACCTTATAAAACGATACTGTTGTAATGAATTCTTTAAAGGTAGTAAAGGTGCACATTCAGTTCTATATTAGAAATTTTGGTCCATACTTACCAAATGTCTGCCTTGAGGCCACTAGACACCAAGAAGCGTATGATGTCCACATGGCCACACAGGTGTAGTGCCGTGTTGCCCTGGTTGTCAGTGGCCTGCAGGTCGGCACCAAACTTGTGTAGCAGGCGACAGAGCCCTACACAGCCACGGGCAGAGGCTAGGTGGATGGCGGTGCGACCCCGGCTGTCACGGACGTTCGGGTCACAACCGCTTTCCAGCAGGCATCTGGCACGATTCAGGTCTCCATCAGTGCATGCCTGTAGCAGGGGTGCTGTGGTCTGTGTTGAGTCGTTGATGAAGATATATGCCATGCCTTATCATAAGACACCGACAGAGAAATTATAATTTCAAAGAACCGGTTTAGTACTGTGACCCTTTACTGGATAAGAGGGACAAAAGACGAATGAATACTAGTAAGCTGTATGTGTCCCCAAAAACTTTACTGGCATGGATAACATTAAATGCTGTATTATTTATAAGCTAAGTCATATAAGGTGTAAAAATGCACAAAAACTGGGTGATGTTATCCATTAAACCAATACTGGATACTGAACAATGAAAACGGCATCGGCCAATTGTATACGGTATACACCATATACAGCAAATCGAAACATCATAAAACAGATGCTGCTCCTGGGGGCATGTAAAATGACGTAGTTATAATAATCTTAGTGATACATACTTTAATACAATGGATTGCGATGAATGCTTAAATAAGTCAGGCAATTATCGTACAATGAATAATGTGCAATAATGACACAACTGCAAGTTCACTGGAAAACAGAACAATGGGAAGCAAGCATTGAAGCAAGTTAGCTATCCAATACGATATGAAGCGTTGATAACATTATAGTCACTACGTAAATGCTATAAATATTTTCTATAAACGAAAAATGTTTATTTTGTTATATATTTCCATTGTATCACACTAGGACGGTTTACAAATCTTTACCTTCTATTTGAACCAGGAATGCTCTTCGAAAGAGCAGAAAACTACGGACATCGAAGCGGTACAACAAATTATACTAGAAGAATACACTACAATATCCATGAGTCCATGCAATGTTTTTGTCATTGGCAAACCTGCGGACCGGTTTGCTATGCATTGCTGTAATTGTAGTTTATAGTCCTTCTAAGAGGCGCGTCAGCAGCAGTTTTCAAACAACACTTCCCACAAGGCAGCGCGCTGTATTTGTATCCTCCGCTTTTAAACCGCGTTGACAGTCGGAGGATGGAGGCAGGTAGGGTAAACTGAGGAAATATGATAATTAAAATTAGGTTTTATTTGCCCATGGATATAACTTTAGCAGATATCCGTAGTCACCAAGTGTCGGTATTTTCGGTGATTTACCCTGGGACACCAACCACTGAGTTTAAGGTCCGCCTGGAAAACTATATTCTTGAGTTGCAAGTTTTCTGCATTGTTTCCTTTCCCGGCCCGTCAAACCAACGGCAGTAAAGCGACTGAATAACCCGGCTCTGCCGGCACGACGAAACCGGCCACTAGCTACCGATCACACCAGATAACAAGCAAGCTGGTGAATAATAATAGCATGCCTGTTGATCATTAGTTGGAGGTATATTAGCTTAACTGCTAATTACCTTTAGCAGCCCACTTTGCCGGCGAAGATGCGAGACTCGTCAATTACAGCGATACAGCTCGTCGTAATTTCAAAACCTGTGGGGAACTTCCTGATGACTAGAAGTGAATATTTAAAACCTAAAATATGTTAAATAAATTTAGGGCCTCTTAAGTCATTTGATCTTTAATTAGTATTCACTTAAGTATACAGAAGCTTCAGTTGAACTAAGTTTAGCATTTGTTATAATCAGTGTGAGTACTCTACAGAAATAGAAAATATTTCGTTTTTCTTGACACAGTGAAACGTAATACGAGACGGGAACGTCATCTCTTACATCAGATCATATTACATCATACATTTTACCAGCGTACAAAGTAGCATGTAAAGGGAAATTAAAGTCTTACCTGTTTCAGAGAATTTGTTTTATTGTTGTAAAACCCAAAATATGTAGGAACCAACCCTACTTTACACGGTTACATTAGTTTTCCTAACATTCATCTTTTGTACCTCTTCTAGTTTTAGCCAAGTATGAAAATCAGATCAATGTGTTCACTGAACTACTAGAAGATTTGCCTGACACAGATGAGCCTGTATGGATACTAGGCGAGCGGTACAGTATCAAAACAGGTATGTGGCTTGAAAAGAGTTCTACACAGGGGTGGGTGGCTGTCCATGCTTTATACATTACCCACTTTGCACAAACAAGGGTATTAATAATACTGAATTTCTTGAAGTACTGGCATCAGATTAGCAGTTAAAGCAAGGCTGGATCAAATGGTAGATCCAGTTACAAGGCAATTTTAGTCAACAGGCAAAAATAAGACTTGTGAATGTTAGTTTTTGCTTCTAATTTACAACCTTCACTTTAATGTTTTCACAGAAAAACCAGAACTGCTGTCAGACTTCCGTTCACGGCTATGGTTTACTTACAGAAGAAAATTCTCCCCCATCGGTAAGCATTGGGCCAGGGTGCTGACAAGCAGGTACTGGTGTAACGTGTGTGTGACATAATGTCTGAGGATGTACATACATTAATGCTCAATCGTGTTCCTTAGTGAGAGTTTTTTCTTTGTTTTTCCTATATAAGCAAATAAGTTTTTCCTGAGTTTTGGTAACCACTGGAAATTTGTTGTGAAGCACTTGGTTGTCAGATATTTGTACAAATGCACAATATTAAATGATATTTTTCTTAATGCTAAAAGAGCATGGCTTCTCCTGTAATGCTGAGCAGAAAATATTTTTGGCCACTGATCCAATTAATTTGTCTGTGTTTATATTTAACTGAAATTGCCCAGATGTCGCATTGTGTTGGGTGAAATCGATCATTAAGTGTGATGCTGTGTCCTCCAGGTGGAACAGGCCCCTCGTCAGATGCTGGGTGGGGATGCATGCTTCGCTGCGGGCAGATGCTTCTGGCCCAGGCCTTGGTCTGCTGGCACCTGGGCAGAGGTGAGAGCTGGCCTGTGTTTTGGTGAAGCCATTTGCTTTTCTCAGTGAAAAATGCATCCTCTCCTAAGAAATGTAATGAAAGGAGAGAGAAGGAATGCAATGGAATACCCATATTTCTTCTTTAGGAAACACTTCAGAAAAGGGATATTATTGTTGGTAGGAAATACTTAGAAAACTATGTTCTGGCTGAGGTACATGTGGCAAAGTCAGTGCAGCACGATATGCGGCATGTAGAAATGTGGCATGATAATCATTTTATCTCTATTTTTTTATTTTATTTTTTTTAAATAATCGTTGGAAGCCAAAATCATCATTGTAATTAGTAAGTTAAATTTGATTAATTGCCCAGCCCTACTGTCTAGTTCATATTCTGTCCTAGATTAAAAAAGCAGGTGTACAGCGTGAATAGCGATACTGAAAAATTCAGCGATTAGGTGAAACAAGGTTAAGCCCCCTGGTTGGGAACGAGGTTCCTGACACCCGTTTTGCCACTTCACAGATTGGCGCTGGGACAAGGACTGCAGCCCCCCTCGGGAGTACCAGCAAATCCTGCATTGTTTCCTGGATAAAAAAAATAGCTGCTACTCCATTCACCAGATGGGTGCGTGATGAAGCTCCTCGATACTGAGCATTGGCGTGTTGATCCGATGTTTACTTTGATGGTGCTAGGGAAGTGCTTGCCTTGATTGTGTGATGCATACTATTAAGGCCAAACGTGTTTCAGTAAAATCCCAATGCGTCTGTGCATTGTGGTGTGAGCATCCATCAGTTTGACGAGCCTCTTAATGAGCGCGGCTCTTTCCGTCTCCATACAGCTCAGATGGGAGTGGGGGAGGGCAAGATGATTGGAGAATGGTACGGCCCCAACACTGTTGCACAAGTGCTCAAGTAAGCATTGTCTTCAGATGCATTTGAATCTGGCTATGATTGAGGGGACGGGGAGGTGGGATGGCTTGGTGTGACTCTCTGTGCCCCGGCTGGCTGGTTTTCCGCTCACCGATGCTGTCCTTCCTCTACTTGCCCCTAAGGAAGCTGGCACTGTTTGACGACTGGAACTCATTAGCTGTGTATGTGTCAATGGACAACACAGTGGTGATCGAGGATATCAGTGAGTCTCCCTCCTTTCTTTATTTTGCTCTTTAGCTGTTGGTGTTATTTTAAAACGGCAGTACGACATTCTTGGCCAGTTGGATCAGTGGTATGGTATTATTATATTACAGCAGGGAGTCACGTGACTGCTTGTCATGTGACTCCCAGGGCTCAGAGCTGTGACTGTCGCACATGTTCAGGACATCACAGCTGACGCCTGCACGATCGGTTCATTATCAGAACGTGTTATTAACATTGGCAAATGTGACTGTGGAAAGGTGTTCTGTACCCAGTTCAGGACTCTACATCTCTCCCTTGTTCCCCAGAGAAGCTGTGCCGGCAGACAGGCCGGGACACACTCAGGCCTGGCGCAGGTGGTTGGGCACAGCCGCCAGACAGGGGAAACTTGTTGGAGCAGGGCTGTTCCCAGCTGCAGGGTATTGCTGTGGAGTCCTGCCTAAACACATGTCCTGAATGGCGGCCCCTGTTGCTGATCATACCTCTGCGAATGGGAATCAACCACATAAACCCTGTATATATCCAGGCCCTCAAGGTACAGTACATGTAATGATTCTACTGGTTAGTAACATGGCAGTTTGAAAATTAAAAAGCAGAGTGCAAAACCTGCAGAGATACACATTTGGTTATTTGTTCTCTTGGGGCTGGAATAGAGCATAAGGCAGCATGCACATAGGTTTGGGTGACTATCAAGTTCAGCGGGGGCTGAAGCAGCAGCTAACTGGGGTTTTAAGAAGGAGATAAAGCCAGAGAAGCCGGCAAGTGGGATCTGACGGAGTGGCTCGAGCCTGAGAAGCCGCCAACTGGGATCTGACGAAGCGGATGGAGCCTGAGAAGCCGCCGACTGGGATCTGACGGAGTGGATCGAGCCTGAGAAGCCACCGACTGTGATCTGACAGAGCGGATCGAACCGGAGAAGCCGCCGACTGGGATCTGACGGAGCGGATCGAGCCGGAGAAGCTACTGACTGTGATCTGACGGAGTGGATCGAGCCTGAGAAGCCGCCGACTGGGATCTGACGGAGCGGATCGAACCGGAGAAGCTACTGACTGGGATCTGACAGAGCGGATCGAGCCGGAGAAGCTACTGACTGTGATCTGACGGAGCGGATCGAGCCTGAGAAGCCGCCGACTGTGATCTGACGGAGCGGATCGAGCCAGAGAAGCCGCCGACTGGGATCTGATAGAGCGGATTGAACCGGAGAAGCTACTGACTGGGATTTGACAGAGCGGATCGAGCCAGAGAAGCTACTGACTGGGATCTGACGGAGCGGATCGAGCCAGAGAAGCTACTGACTGGGATCTGACAGAGCGGATCGAGCCAGAGAAGACACCAACTGGGATCTGATGGAGCCGGAGGCGTCTTATCCTTTGCACACACATTCATTAGAGTTGTAATGTGATTACAGAGCTTTAGATAATGGGCGCAAAATTTGTCTGAACACCAGCTTTTTGATACTTTACAGACATTTGCTTAGCCCTTGATTTGATGTGCAGTTTAGTAGTACTCCTGAAACATTAATTAATGAGACCTGGTGTGATGCCCAAAAGTTACTAGTCTGTATAAATGCAGTGTATCCTTATGTTTATTAAATTTGGTTAGCAGAGCACACCACACATACTATTGTTTTTGTAAATCATGGAAGCAATGTATAAGCACTGAATTGGCAGTGAAGTAAGGGACAGCTCATCAGCAATATCATCTTTAAAAAGAGGAGATATTTGAAGAGAAAAAGATTTTTGGATAAACAAGGTAAAAAGACAGTGGTGTGGTGGAACTTTTTGCAGTTTAAAGTCTGACACATTTATTAAACAAGGATATGTGGAATATATTCAGATTTACAGAAACACAGATTTATACAGTTTTGGGTATCACAATGTCTTTTGTGACTATTTTAGGCATACTACTAATCTTCTTACCAAATTGTGGCTGTAAATAAATGTCTGTATAGTACTGAAAAGCCATTGTCCGGACAGATGTTTATACCCGTTACCTAAAACCCTGGTGATTGCTGCACATGCTCACAAATCACAATTATATCACAATGTGATACTGTGCAGAGCTCTAGTATGAAGCAATTCTGTTTGTCTATTAAAATCAGAAAATGAATGATTGAGGCATTTTTCAGGAGTGCTTCCGGATGCCACAGTCTCTGGGGGTGCTGGGAGGCAAGCCAAACCTTGCATACTACTTCATTGGATTCACAGGTGAGCTCATGACGCTTTCAGCAGCTCTGTGAACCTGAGTGTCTCCATGTCAACTCATTCATCCCCCTCCCCCAGGAGATGAGTTGATATACCTGGACCCCCACACCACGCAGGCAGCTGTGGATCCCGAGGCTGGTGGACCTGTGGATGACCAGAGCTACCACTGCCAGAGGAGCCCGCACCGCATGAAGGCCATGAACTTGGACCCCTCGGTGGCACTGGTGAGACTTTGGGGTGTCACCAAGGCAGAGGCCTTTATCTGTTTAGAATATAATGGGTATGGGCTAATGGCATCTCAAAACTGAAATCAAATTTTACCCACATAAACCAATTTTTTGGGAGTGTCTTGAGGCTGATCTGGGCCTGATCTGATTGTGGGAAAATTTTTGGAGTCTACTGCTCACAAAGAGAGAGGAAATTTACTGAAGTTCTCTGGTAGCTATTTTTACCAAAACATTTTTTATTGGCATTTTGTTTTTTCAGAGACACTTTTTTTTGTTTTGTTGTTAATGTACAGATAACAGAAATAAGACAAAAAAATACTTGGAATATTGGGGTAATTTTAATTTCTCACCCTCCTAGGGATTTTTCTGTAAAACTGAAATGGACTTTGACAGCTGGTGTGGTTTGGTTCAACAGGTAGGAAGTGATCGGTGTTTGACACGTGTAATTTGCAATTTATCACTACAGATTAGCAAAATCACAGAACTGAATTTTGCATTATCCGGACAGTACTAGTTATTGGAAAAGCACAGATTATTAACATTACATTACAACAGTTTATCCACATTTCCCTGCTTTGGTAGGAGATCTTGAAGAAAAGTCATCTACGAATGTTTGAGCTGGTGGAGAAGCACCCACCCCACTGGCCGCCCTTTGTCCCTCCCACCAAACCTGAAGTCCAGACCACAGGAGCAGGTTGGTCCCATAATGCCACGCATTTCCCTTTAAAACTGTTAGCCTAGTGTTGCTCCACAGTGAGACCAAACTACCTAAATTATTGTTTCCTTTGATTTTGGTGGTTTCCTAGCAACAAGTACACACCAGTGACTGGTTAATGAAGACAGACTCTTAAATTTATCTTTTGCTTAATATGTTGTTTCCAAACCTTTACAGTTCTTTGTCATCATCTGAGTCTGCTGACTGCCAAGCTCATGACCATTTCACATATAGTCGCCGCCCAGTAAAAATTATATGTCCACTTTTTGATGGTTGTGACTTCTTACTATCTATGGAGTACACCCATTCTTGTGTTTTGTGGTCGCATTTGACATGGAATTAACCACTGAAAAGATGTTGTATGAAGTTATCTAAGTATTATTTGTTCTAGTTAACATTTGTACTCATAATTTTAGGGGTGTAACAGTACACAAAAATTCATGGTTTGGTACAAACATTGGTTTTTGGTTAATAGTTTGGTACAGGGATAACCAAATTTGTTTTGGAATTATTAGTAAAATCCACCATCAAACACATTTAGGAACAAATTTAAATGTCAACATGTTTAGATAAAACCTAAGAGATTCTTATTTGCACATTGTAAAAACGAGTATGTATTTTTTTTTATAACATCATAATAATCATGGAACTAAATCCAGTCTAAATCCCTTGTTGTCTACTACTGAGTATGGTTATACATATGTAGTGATAAACACCTCTGTAGCCATAATTATTTTTAGCCTGGTCTGAATTTCTTGCCAGAAGCGCCTTTAATGCCACAGGGAAACTAACTTGCAGAGGCTGTTTCTGCCTTGCCCCAATCACTGACACACACTGACTATGATAATGTTTCAAATGAGTTTGTGCATTGGATGTGTCTCCAGCAACACAGTAGAGTTCATTATAACAGAGCCAACAGACAGTCTTGGTCTTAACAACTAATCTCTCCAGTGCTGGTGTAATTTATTGGGAAACCAAAATGTTCTCAAACCACCAATCATGACTGACTGTAGCCAACATTACCCGTAACCAACTCACCGCCACAATTAGCATAGTGTGTTCTGTGTTGAACATGTACTTGTGATTTTGGGCCAAGTGTGTCTCATTACGTTGTTTTAGGTTTATTTTATAAAGTAGTTTGAGAAAATGCTTCTCATTCCTAAAATAAGATTTTTGGAGATACACATTATCGTACAGTGATGATAGTGGAATACGGTACAAATCAAAATGCCGAAGGTCATTTAAAAAAAAAAAACAACACATCCTGTTTTTTTTTTATGTTTGTAACAGAGTTCATCGACTCCACTGACAAGCTGTTTGAATCAGAGGAGGAGTTTGAGATTCTTAATGTCTGAAGAGCTTTCATGCCTGACCCGGCAAAGGTCAACGCTGATGGTGATTTGGCCCCTCCCGTCCAGGCGTGGCTTGGAGCTGTTTGTTGAGCTATAGAAGTGCCTCAGATTACACAGAGACCAAGCACAAAACTGATTACCAGCTTGCAAAAAAGAAAATCAGCAAAAGCATGGACTCAAGGAGGATCAGCCGGGGGGTGGCAGGCGGGCTCAAGCTAAGTCCCTTCACTGTGGTACACAGACAAAGCCAAGGATTACAGTAGCACCTATTCAAAAGAGAGTCTTTTTAAAGGCCTCTAAGAAACTTAAGACTTTTCAGTGTATGACCTGTTAGAGAGACTGTTGTGTACATTACCTGCTTCAACCAGGGGAGGGTCTGGATGAAGACAGGAGTGGAGATCATATCTTTGGAGAAGCCATCACCTCAAAACATACACTACCTCCTGTTGCCAGGAGACCAATATGCAGATGTTTCAGTGTTAAAAAAAGAAAACTTGTATATGGAAGTGCCTCATTTTAAAATATTTATATTCCTGAATTTGGTAGGTTAGGGGGTTCCTCTAGTTAAGGAATGGGTAACACCATATATACCCTACCCTTCTGTAAATATGCTAGTCAATAAAAATATTTAGAAACCAGATTGATTACTTCTGGGCAAATGTCACTTAATGGCCATGACAGTGAAATTTTTAACTTTTGCTGTATATTATTCTAGAATGACCGCAAGGTGGTTTGGATTTGTGAACACATTTACCATCCCTTCCACTCATATGATATCAAAGCAGACATTTTCCTACATTTAAATACATATTGAAATTTGGAACCATTCCTGATGCAGCTTTTCACCAGTTGGGGGTGCTGTACTTACATCATGTACTGCAAGAACATGTATGTCACTATTAATACATATGCACACGCACACACATACACTTAGAACGCACACACACATATTAATAAAGGTTCTTGTGGCAAAACTATTTAGAAAAAATCAAATCAAATACATAAAGGAAACATTTCTCATATTGAAATTAGGAGTATTTATTTTTATATGGCATGGAACTGTACACTGGCATGATTAAAAAACAATTATATATAAACATATCAACTGAATGAAATTAAAGCATGTGTTCAGCAAAGGCATGTTAATGACAAAAATATCAAGTATGATCTGTTTTTTCACCAACAAGTTTACAGAGGTGCTGCCCTTGGAATCTGCTGTATGCCGTCTGGCTGTTTTTTAAACAAGGGGATGCAGTATAGTAAATAGCACACAATAAAAGGCATTTAAAGGAAGGAGAAAGGGGCAGTGTGCTCAACAGAGACCAGCAAGGGGCTGCTCCACGACAGACACCACAGTGGTCACGCATACTGTAGCTTAGTTCCACAGAATGCGGGAACAATGGATCCTACTGATAAATCACAAGAAGAAACCAGGGGTTTGTATTTTGGAAGTGTCTTAATATACAGTCTGATCTGTGTTGGTCCAGCTTTGCGAGAAAAAAAGACTTAGTATTCATTGTTGAAGGCAATTTAGGCTGAGCGCTGAATGCTTCCATCTATATCCCTAAAACTAGAAACCTGGGGTGTTACAGAATTAACTAGAAAGGCTGGCAGCAACTCAGGACTTTTCATTATGAGGAGGACGAAGTGTGACCCTGCAAAGCCTCCCGGCTGTAAGTCATGAAGGGGGTGTGCAAAAACCACCTTTGTTACAGTTTATAGTTTACAAAGTGCTGCTTTTTTGTAGTATAACCAACGTCTCAAGAAAACACTCATATTGACCAATTTAATGGCTGTTTCAGTGGGATAAGACAAGAAAAAAATACTTTGGCTTCAGTTCAATCAATAAATTTTTTGCCAGGCAATCAATCAAAATGTTTAAATTACAAATGTATAAAAAAGATAAAACAATTCAGTGCTTGTTCAAGAATGCTCTAGTGTCCTTGGCGAAGTAGCCCTGGGTAACTGAAAGATGGCAGACTATGAGAAACAGACGCATGTAGAATCACTAACGGTAAGACCTACAGTAGATCAGAACCAGCACACTGAGGCCTGGCTATGATGGTATTATGCCCAGCAAGGTGACCATGCTCTGGATGTTGTAGCGGAAGGGCCCAAATGCTCACTCGTGTTCCTTGTCTTCTGCTGAATGTCCAATCGGTTCCTCAGCTCCTCTGCCTTCTTGTGGCCATGGCTACAGTATCTTCATGCAGACCTGACAGCGACTGACATGCCTGAGAAACTGTTCAGCCTTCAGGGTCTCCTGGGCCGGGGCCTCAACGAACTGCATCTCTGGTTTGATAGTCGTCAGCCAGAAGCTGTACTTGTTGGCGAAGTAGTAACAGGTACCGCGAGCGCCACTGCACTCAATGAAGGGCGTGGCACGGAAGTCCTCCAGGCAGGACCCTGGTGAGACCAGGGACTGACCACCACCCTCTGCTCCTGCTGCTGTGTGCTGAAGAAAACCGAAATTTAGAGACTGAAGTGATGAGCTACATCACTGTTTCCCAATCCGGCTCTTGGGGTCCACTGGACGGTCCACATTTTTGTTCCCTCCCAGCTCCCAGTGTAGGGAGCAAAAATATGGACCAACTAGCAGGGAGCTGGGAGGGAGCAAAACCTGGACTGTCTGGGGGTCCCTTCGGACCAGGTTGGGAATCATTGTGCTACATTTAACCTCGCTGGAATCACTGTGCTTGCATCTATTGCTCATGTTCACTGATATGTCCCATAATTATTAAAACAAGAAATAATTGCACTCAAAACCTCAAAGCACAATGTTGCATTCACAAAAAAAAGAAAACAGAGGAATATGAATATACTGATGACTTCATTTCAATGAAGAGAAGCTTCTTTGTTTTTCAGATTTTTGGGAATTTTTTGCAGGTGATCTTCAGGATCTTCAAAGCTGGGAAAGCTGCAATAGTGTGATGACAACCCCCCACCACCACTGTCGAGCATCTCACCATGAGGAAGGAGTAGCCGATCCAGAGGCTTCTCCAGCCCTGGGGGCAGGGTGGGATGCTGTGGTCCTGGCTGTGGACAGCCACAGCCTGGGAGGGGGCCTCACACACAGAGCAGCGGCTGATGTACTTAGGGATCTGCCCGTCTGACACAGGCATCATGGGGATGGGTGCTGCTGTGGACAGCCAGTAGGACTTGTCGTTGCGGCTGGCGAAGTGGCATACCTCGTGGATGTTGCAGTAGATGAAGGGGATGGTGCTGAAGTGGGGCAGGCAGGACCCAGCCAGGCCTGGTGACGGAGTAACCAGAGGCGGGTGAAGGGTTTTCAAGGGACAGTTTGACTATGCGGACCACTAGGTTTTTCTACTTACAGGTTAATAAACTTTCATTCATTCATTCACTCATTCACTCCTCAACTCATCATTCCAAATCCACTTCCCATGTGTAGCGCTGCAAAGGTCCAAAACATATCCCGAAAGGCAGGGAATAACCCAGGCTGGGACCAACACATACACCATTCACACATATGGACAATTTGGTAATTCTAAATCACCATGATTTTGGACTGGGGGGGGGGGGGGGGGGGGCAGAAAACCTGGAGGAAACCACAAGATGACACAGGGAGAACATGTAAACTCCACAGACATGGAGCCGGTAAAGCGACCATGCTATACAAGGCAAAGTTTCACTTCATACTTTTATAAACATTTTGTTGTAGTACAGGTCATGAAAAACAAAAAACATAAGACTAGTTGATGGAAATGTGCTCCACGCTATGATGACACGTTCAGCATACTAACCAAGGTCTGGCCTGTGGGCTTCTCATGGCCCCACGTTACAGTGACACGCTCAGTATACTAACCAAGGTCCGGCCTGTGGGCTTTTTATGGCCCCACGCTACAGTGATACGCTCAGTATACTAACCAAGGTCCTGGTTGTGGGCCTTCTCCTGACTCTCCATGCTACGGTGACATGCTCAGCATACTAAACCTTGGGAGTCTGAGGCCTCTCAGCCACTTTCAGGGTAGTCTGACATTTTTAAATATTTCACAAATCTAAAAAACATTTATCCCAAAGTGTTACATTTGCTTTTATTCAGCACAAACTCAGCACCAATAATCAGACCACTTAGAATGTTATTATTCTATTTTTTGTTAAAATCAACTTTAAACATATGCTTTTCAAAAACCTATTTTCAGACATGCTGAGAAATTGTAAAAAATCACATTATAGATATTTCTAGCCAAGACTTTTGAGCTCTGAAGCTTATAGACACAGGGGTTGGCTACACATAGGTGAAAGAGACATTCTGAAATTTTATGTGGTTTGATTGCTAAAGTTTAGAGTGACACTCTTTTTCTCAAAGTCACTGGCCTGCACAATGAATATTGATGAGATAAGTGTCCCCACACCTGTAGTAGTTTGCGTACTGTCAATGGCCCATCAGTCTGGAATGTCACTGCACCCCACACCCATCACTTTGTAAAGGTAGTTTGAAACGCAAGAAAAGTAGCAACAATAAAATCCTTTTCACAGTTTATTGGTAGATAGAATGAAAAATGAAAAATTGTGACCATATAAATATGAAGCAGTGCCTATGCAGCGTTAACGGAAATAAAATAATTATGGGCCTATTCATGTCAATGAAAGGCCCATATTACTCTTCACCTAGTTATGAGCCTATGGGCCTATTTTCCGAATTTGCGCTTAGCCCATGAAATGGATGGAGCTCACTTTGGTGCCAAGTCGAAGGGCTTATCTAGACGGACGGATTGACATATCGTTTGTCTCAGTGCACCTTATGAATTGCGTGCAATTCCCTCTCAAAATTATTCCGTTTATTTCGGCAATTAATGCGGGTCGTACCGTAGCGTGCAGCCAGGCAATCTATATCAAAAATGAGCCCTTGATGGTGTGAGGTGTGCTATTACTTTTGTTGGCATTTCGCATTACCGTGGCGACATTATTCACGGTCAAACACACTAAAAATCCCATAGGAATGAATTGAATGCTAACTTTGTACTAGCATTAGCCTATACCCAACTAACTATGTGAATAGTAATATGGGTCGATCTTTTTCATTGCAATGAATAGCGCTTTGACTTCAATGCATTTCAGTCAAAGTTTTTCCACTCGGTCAGTGTTCATGCCACAGCAAAAAGACTCGGTATTCAACCTTAGGCCTCGTCTTTCATCCCTCGTTTTCCCCCATTGACTTCAATGCATTTCTGTCAAAGTTTTCCTATTCGGCCACTGTTCATGCCACAGCTTCAAGACTCGTTCACTATTATTAACGCTCTGGGGATGAGGGAATCGTCGACCGCGTATCTTTCTTGTGTATTTCAGTTTATAGCTCGCTGAAATCATTATGTAGAATCATGAAAAAAACACTGACTAAATCCATAATCTGTCTTCTTTTCAAAACTTCCATTGTCGGAAGTATTAAAGTTTTTATAATTAAGTTAAATCGGCACTACCCAGACATGTGCTCTTGTTTATTTCAGTCACAATGGGCGTATTCACATATTTCTTTACCCAATACTAACTGTCGGATTATCATGTTATTATCATGCGAATAGCGCGATTTGCAAGTGGGTGGGCGATCAGAGCTGCTTCGAACATAAGAACATAAGAAATTTACAAACGAGAGGAGGCCATTCGGCCCATCAAGCTCGTTTGGGGAGA